CCCGGGCAGATACCAGACTGGTTTCTGGCGTTCCCACCCGATTGCGAGAAGAAATTTTACTATTTTATCTGAATTCTGTGTCTCTGTGTATTTCTTTCCAAGATTTCCGTTAACACTATGATTAATAATAGGTGTACCTCACCATTCCTAGTTTTGTTCATTCTGTCTTTATAGGTCCTCTTCTACTCTTAAACTTGTGTGTTAATCCTTGGTGCATTTTCCTTTTTATGTTTCTCTGTTGACCTCATCTCATTCAGTCTCATGGATTTGAATACCTATATGCTGATGGCTCCCATATTTCTGTCTCTAGCCCAGTTCCCTCCTGTACTCCAGACAGCCCGTTAGGTCAGTCCATTTGGATGTACAGAGGTCAACTCAAACTAAACTTCCATATTCCTTCTTAATTTACTTCATGTGCAGCTTAACCTCTCTAATCTAATGGTAGCTCCATTCAAGATTCAGGTAAAAAGAGAAAAGTGTTGGCTTTATCTCTGACTTTATACCTCGTATTCTGTGCTTTTTCTTATTTTGATAATATATCCAGAATCCAATCACTTCTTATCTGCTTTCCAGCCTGGTCCCAGGCAGTCTTCTTACCTCTTGCCTAGATAATTCTGCAGTTAGCGACCTGACTGGTCTTCTTTGTTCTTTGCTAGCTGCCTAAGGTGTTTTCAACACAGCAGCCAGATCGTATCACTTCTCAAAACCCTGCAGTGACTTGCCACGTGCAGAGTAAAAACCGAGTCCTCGTGGCCTGTAAGGCCTTGCAGAGTGTGTGTACTCCACTGTCCTGGTCTCCTCTTAGTCTCAAGTGAGCTGCTGCTCTTCCCCTGCTTATGCCCTTCCAGCCTCCCTTGTCTGTCTTAGGGTCCTCACACTGGCTGTTGCCTCTCTTTGGAATGCTTTTCTCTGAGTTATTTGCATGGCTTACTTTCTTGACTCCTTTGAGTCTTTGGTCTTTAAATGTCACTTTACAGTTTAATTTAAAACTGTACTTCCCTGCCTACATCCCTCTACCCTGCTATTTTCTCCGTAGGACTTGTTGCCTCTGTCATACCATGTAATTTCCTGATTGTGTTTACTGTCTATCCCCGCAGCCCCAGACTCAAATGTAGGATAACCTCTATCAGTCAGGGCTTTTTGTCTGTTTATTGATAGATCCAAAGAGTTTTCCTTATCATCTGGCTTGTAGCACATGCTCAATAAGGACTTGTTGAGTGAGTTAGTTAAATCCTTGTCCTGCAGTTCCTTCCTCTGCTGGATACAGCATAATTGGAGGTATGGAGTTTTCAGTCTGCTTTCTTGTCTAGGCACTGGCAGAGAGCAGAAGAAAGTAGCAGGGAACCTTTGTAAAGCCCCTAGTAGAGAGAGTGATATTAGACTGTGTAAAAGATTCCCTTATTTGCCTACTTGATTAAGATCATTGGTTAATTCAGAAAGCTGGTTGGAAGCTGGGTGTGGTGGTACATGGCTGTAGTAGAGGTACTACTGGCTGGGAGTACATGGCTGGGAGGCTGAGGCAGGAGGATCACAAGTTTTGAATCCAGCTGGTAAGACTCTTCTTAAGAAAAAAAAGCTGGGACTAAAGCTCAGTGTGAAGGTGTTGGATTCAGTCCCTAGTACCATTCCCTCCCATATACATCCCAAACCCCAAAAAGCTGATTAAAGCAAGAACTCAAAATTTTTAAGTGTACTTCAAATGTTTATCTTAAAACGTTTAGTGTTGGTGCACACCTGTAATCTCAGCACTTGGGAGGCTGAGGCCAGGAGGATTGCCACCGTTTTGAGGCCAGCCTGGGCTACATAGTTCAAGGTCAGCCTGAACTATATAGCAGGAAGACTTTGTCTCAAAAAACCAAAAACCAAAAACAAAACCAAAAAACAAAACTTAAACAAAAGATGTAACGCTGGGGCGGGGGATTTAGCTCAGTGGTTCCACTGCCTCCCTCGCAAGCGCAAGGTCCTGAGTTCGATCCCCAGTATCAAAAAAAAAATGTAGTGCTGTCTGTTTTTATCTATCTCTAATGTTCCCTTTCTTCTTTTTTTTTCTTTTTTTGAGATGGGATCTCGTTGTGTAGTCCAGGCTCCCCTTGAACTTGGAATCATCCTGCGTCAGCCTCCCAAGTGTTGGGATTACGGATGTGTGCCCCATACCTGACTTGGACCTGTATCTTTTCTTAGGGTAGTGGTCTTTTGATTTTCCTTCCATAAATCACACTCTAAAAATATCATCTAGGACAATGATGCCGAACCATTTAGAAACTGTCAAACTGCAACCCAAAACCCACTTATTTATCACAGTGCCAACATTGCAATTAAACATGAATACCAAAGTTTTAGTTTAGAAAATATAACTCTACATTAACATATTTTGTCTTAAAAACAGACTAATGTGTGCCTTAAGTTCGCCACCACTGATCTATAATTTCTATTACTGGTTTCTTTAAAGTGGAATGAATATGTGGACACTGGGAAACTCTTAAGTCCAAAATCCTAGAATTTTTCCAGAAGATTTAGTTTAGTTTTCATTTAAAAACACCTTTTGACTTTGTTCTCATATGTAATAGATTTTCAGAAACAAGCAGGTATGCAGCTACACTGTTAGCCATAAGCATTTAGCTTTTGGGAGGAGATATATATATATTTTCCCCCAGTACTGGGGATCGAACTCAGGACCTTGCGCTTGTGAGGCAGGCATGGTGCCACTGAGCTAAATCCCTGGCCCCCTCACCCTGTGTAGTTTTACAGAGGGGGAGAATGTCAGTTAATCATATGAGAATTCAAGACAGCTTCTACTTTGAATAAGCCTTAACAGCCCTCCATTAAGGAGAATGTCACTTGCATTTCTTTGAGTTGGAGTAAATGTACAGTTAGTTATCAGGACTTGTATACATTTTAATAAACACATTGTCCTATCTAGAGATGTGATGGTATTATGCACTCTGGAAAATGTGGGACAATTATGATTTATTCTTCTACATGAATCATTTGACCTGCCAAGGAAACAGCTTGGTCTGGTGTAATAAGCTGGAAGTCAGTAAATTAGAGACCTACAGGTCTTAGGCCTTACTAAGGCCAAGGATTTATGCAAGGATTTTTTATGTCAGTTCTTTAATTACTGCGTAGTGTGTTAGAAGAGGAATACTTGGGATCCTGAAGAGCCTGGGTTTGGATTTGGTTTTACCCAGTCAGTATCACTTACTGAATGTGTGATTTTACCCTACCTGAGGCTCACTAAGGAATTGCTGTATTTTATTAGTACAGTATTAGTGCTGTATTTTTATTAGTATAGTAGTTGCTGTATAACTGATAGCTAAAGTTAAAGACTTATTTGTTGTCAGACTCTTGTGAATATTTATGTATAATATTTATCTTCTTGACAAACTTATGAGGTAAGTACTGTTTGGTGGAGTCTGGAGAGACTAGTTAAATAATTTATCCAGAGACTGAGCAGATGAGAGGATGAGCCTGAAATTTAACTGAGGCATTAATTAATACAAGTGCCTATTCTTACCATTGAGCTGTTTTCTAAAAATGCTTTGGTGGGAGCCTGGGAGTGGGAAGCACAGTTCACATGCAGCTGTCTGATGTTAGGTGTTAGACAGCTAAATTAAGATTACAAAGATTTTTCTACCTAGAGTTAGAAGATTAATTTTTAAAATTTGACTTGAGTTTGAAAATTAGAAGTTTTCCAAGTGAAGAAAATACTAAAAGTTACTTAAAAACTAAATAGTATGTAATGTTTTGTTATGTGGAAAGCAGTGGGTAGGTAGTCTGTGGTCCTTTTAGTTTCCAAGAATTTTGTTCAGTGTCAGTTCCTGTGTGTGTGCATTGTGAGTTA